AATAACATAAAAATGACCAAATATTTTAATATGAAATAATTTGAAAAATTCATAAATAAATAGTAATTAATAAATATACTTTATTTATTTTATAAAAATATATAAAGTGAATATCAAAATAAATTAATAATAATTTTAGTAATAAAAAATTAATAATATATTATTTTAAAGTTAACTAAAATTGACATAACTTTGGTTGATGAATAAACCACTTGTGTGTTTCTACTAAAACTTCTATACAATTAAACCATGCACTTCTGCTATACAAGTAGAATCTCTTTTAGCTACTTATAACTATTTTTAATTTCCTATTATTAGCTTTGTAATTCCTATTTTGTTAATTGATTAAATTTTATTCCAATAATATATTTTTCTTTGATTTTTGATAAATAACTTAAACCAAACCTTCTTCTATACACATAAATATTGCAAAAACCAACTTACTTACTTTTTATTACTATTATTATATACGTATGTATATATATATATATATATATATATCTACCATTGATATCTTAGAGCATATATATATATATATATATATTAATAAAGCTCAAAACAGTTTTCCACTCAGGTTAGTGTGTGAGAAGACAAGCATGGAAATGCCAAATGCAACCTTTCCTTCGTTCCCTTCCTTTCCTGCATGACATCTTCTCACATTAAATTGTCAGAGTTCCATGTCACAGCTCTCAAAGGCACTCACTGCCATGTGGGTCTTTTCTTTCTTACTTTCTTTCTTTCTGTTTTGTGTTTTACAACCAGCTTCTTCATGGTTGTGCAATATCAGCTTTGCAAGGGGCTCTCAACATGGTGAGTGCGAAGTTTCAGCTACATGCACTCTAACTCTGCTGATGTCAAACTACTCCTTCACTCCGCCATCGCCATTGCCTAGGCTGCTACTTCGGAGGAGTAGTAGAAAGAGGAAGAGGAGGAGGAGGAGTGCGACATAACGTCACCGTGACTGTCTCAGTTGCGAAGATGAAGACCACACAGAATAAGTGGAATGCAGTGTGAGCTTACAGTGAGTGAAACCATGTCTCGTTGGTGTGACATTTGACGCTCGCTGTTAGCTTGGAAGCTTGCCGAAGCTCAACTCATGAGTGGAAGCGATTACTTGGCTGTCCTGGAATTAGTGCTTCACTCGAGGATATCTAACCCAGATTGTCATGGATCTGGCCAAGCTCCTGCCCGAGATGAACCCACTTTCCTGAAGCTAGACCAGATCTCAGGGGGTCTGGAATCGATGCTTGTCACCAGTGTGTCGTTGGTTGCATGCTAACGGAAAGGAGACCCATTCCTTTCCTCCATCGCAAGTGCATATCGCCAGGAGAGGTCGGATCTTGCCACCAAGCAGGTCAGCAAACTCCTCGCTGGGTTCCAGTTCCAAGCGTGCTAGTTGGTCTCCACAGCGCGAGCTTCTGACGAAGCAGAACGCTGCATCAGCGCCGTGTGTGATCGATCACCGAGAAATGGAACAGTGCCGCTGTGGGGTGGTGTCGTGTACTGGGGATGCCACAGTCTCCGTGACATGAAAGAGGCCACTCTGATCTCACTTGGAGGATGTCTGGATGATGCAGTGGAATCCCAAGTTGCCTACGGCGACAGTGTTGATGTTTAATGGCATGCGATTCTGATTCCGGTTCTGAGGGTGCGACAAACGGTGTCTGACGCCGTCGACAACGACGCAGATCTTTTGCAGTTGCTGCAGCACTACTAGATTCATCTGCCAATCTGTCAATATGTCTATCAATGGCTATCTCTCTTTATTTGTTTATATATATATATATAACTAAATGTGTGTGTGTGTGTGTGTGTTTGGATGTATTTTTCATTGATTATGCTTGGTTGTAAGCACTGTCAAGCTTGTTTGTTCAAGAATGATTCTATTGCCAATTTTGTGAACATTTCAACTTCGACTCTTCATCGGGATTGATGCTGCTCACCTGACCACCATCAGGGAATTTGCTTATTTTATTTGTTCTTTTGGGACATGAGAGAGTCATTAGTAGGCGTCAGAAATGACAGAAGAATGGTGTTTTGTCTAAAGTTTGTATCGTTGTTTTTTTCAAGAACAAAAGTAGAGGTGTCAAAATCACCTTTTCAGGTAGCAAAGGATTGTATGGATGCAAACAAAACAAGTGGACTATCTTCTTCTTCTTTAATTAAATTTTTGTTTTATTTGCCTGGAATTTAGAATCTAGATTAAAAATCATCAAGTAACGAACAAGAAAGAATTGATAAGCAAAATAAATGAAGAAATAAAATGGAAAATGAATAAAATGAATATATATATATATATATATATATATATGTGTGTGTGTGTGTGTGTGTGTATTCATACATACATGTCTGTGAATTGTTATCAATTTCTTTCAATTAACTAGGAATGAACAAAGTACATCCATTACAATCTTGCACACATTTCTTCTCAATATACTATTCATTGTAGAAAATATATATACATATCTAGCACTTAGATGATTATTTCTTCATCAGATAAATGTAAATTCAGAATTTGTACATGATTCGTTTTTCTTAAATGGTGTTCGTTTCAAGTGAATGGAGCTGTTAAAAATTTTGAGCTTCAACAAACGTAACAAAATGCTTCTTTATTTTTTCATAAAGTTGCTTGTACCTAAAATATTAGTTGTTTTTTTTATCATTTAAAAATACATAAAATTCAACCAACTCTATCAAGTAATTAAAGCTATATATTGCATTAGTTCTTCAAGGTCATACAAAATTTTGCAACATGGGTTGGGTTAAACAAATTAAAAGATAACCAAAGTTCTTTGAGTTCAAAATTTGAAAATGACAGCAATTAAAATGGAATTTAAAAATTGCATCTGGTCTATTTGTAGGATTGATTAAATTATTATGTGATATTTTAAACAATTATTCTCTGATATATATATATATATATATATAGTGCAAACAGTTTTGTATCCTTAATTTTTTTTTTATCCTACTTATTCAAATATGTATAAGTGTTTTTGTGTTAATGACATCTTAAAATCAAACCATCTATTACATGTTTATAAATTTTATGATTAAAAATATATATTATTTTAGATTTTTTATTCCATAGTGATAGAAAAAAATTTCAATTGTAACATACTGATATTTATATATATATATATATATATATAAATTGGCAACAATAAATTTCAAGTGCTAATAAATTCTTTGTCACTTTTTATAAATATTAAAATATTAATTAATAGTGAAGTAAGTTTATCAAAATATAAATAAATGATATTGAATGTCGTTCAAAACTTGTAGTTACACTTATGGTCAAGGGTACATTATTCCATAGTAAAGTTTTTTCTTAATCAAATGTGAATAGATATCATTTCAAAATTGACAATGTTATTATTCAGTTTAGACTTGTTTTGTAATGATTGCAGAAATGATTGTTCGAACTGTTGATTTTGACATTAAAAATTATTTTACTGAATATCTGTTATAATCTGTAAATGCAATTTTTTTTGTTTTGTTTTTTTGTTTTTTTGTTTTTCTTTTTTCTTTTCTTATGTTTTTTTTACAAAAAAAAAAAAAAAAAAAAAATCTAACAAAAATTTGTGTGTAATGCTTGTTGTCCAACATACATATACATGTAATTTATGGATACATAATATTATTTAAATTTTATTCATTTGTGCCATAAGTTTTGAATATTAAAGATTTCCTCATTTTTATTTTAAAATCTTCATAGAATATAAGTATGTATATATCAGTATTTTTTTGTTTAGTTAAAATTATGAAGCTGTGTTTGCAATAGAAACTACTTTACTGATATAATATATTTTAGATGAACTTGGTAGTAGATATAATGATTTTCAAAAATGATATGGTTGTAAGAATATTTTATTTACTTATTCATAAAATAATCAACAAACTTTTGATTGATACTAATGCACTAAAAAGAAACCTGAAAAATTGACTATGCATTTCAAAAATTATTGGCACAGGAAATAATATATTTATTGCCAGTTAACTTGATTTATATGATGGATTTAGTAATCAAAAACTAATTTTCATTTCTGTGAGATCAAATTTGTTTTGATATTATGTATATAAAATTTATTTATTGTAAAAATATATGTAATATGTATTCTAAAAGGATTACAAGCCCTTCTGTCTTTTTAAGAATGAAGTGTAAGTTTTTAATTTAATCAGATATGTGTATGTGTGTGTGTATGTATATATATATATATATATATATATATATATACACATATATTAAGTGCTCCAAATTTGAAATAGAACTTTACATGCATTTTAGAATAATAAACAATATTATTACACTCTCTAGATATGATAGTTATAATATATAATTTATGCCTTCGGAAATTTTCTATGTGTCTTGTTTTTTTATTTTTTTTTACTTTAATAAAAATCCAATGAAAGCCGAAATGAAAACAAAGAGTTTATCTCCTTTCAAGAAATAACAAACAAAGAGGGATGAAAAATAAATTGTAATTCTTTATAAAAATCTGTTAAAAGCTTGCATTGCCGAGTATAGCAATAGTTCATATGGACTTCAATCAAACTTTCAACTTCATAGTCAATCCCTTTCAATAGAATGAAACGTTCCAATTTAATAAACTAGAAATGGAAATTAATGGTTCAACCAAATAAGAGGGCTAGTTACATCCCCAACATCATCCATCTCATGTAAGAGAATCTCTCCCTCACCACCACACAAAACTCAACACAAAACCCAATTCAATGAACACGTAATTAGTTTCATTAAATTAAATTAAATCAAACTGAACCGAAAATAAATGAGCGCACATGGTGTCCCACAACAACGCATGCATGGCATTGTGCCAGCGTGGCAACACTGACCCAGAAGAATGCCACCGAGAAAAGTCGCGTAAAAGTAAATAGTAATGAAAAAGGTCGAGCCCCCTTCAAAAAAAGACGATGCGCCGCCAAAAGGAACGGATCCGCAGCCCTTGGATTGAATTTCTAAAACGGGGGGAGCAACATCCGAGGCCACACTCCCTCTCTACTCTTCTCTCCCTCACTCTCACACACACATTCAGTCATTGTGGTCTCCATTTCATGTTCATCATCTTATGATTCATGATTTTTATGATTTGAGGTTTTGGGGACGGAACCCAACTCGAGCATGTTACGGTGTTGTTGTTTGAGTTCTTGGCTCTCGTGCCCGACGCTTCGTTGCCACCAGCAACGGATTTTCGTCGGGGACACATCACGGCAGCAGCGCAGAGAGAGGGGAAATTGCTTGTGCGTCGGGGTTCGTCACCAGTAGTAGCAGATTGCGCGTGGGTGTTCAATGGAGGTCGTTCGTCTCGCTGATCAAGGTGGGGAGACATCCGTTGCCATGTGGTTGTGAGCATTGCGGTGGAATTGTGTTGTGGGTTTTTGGGGGTTGCTTGGATGGTTTCTCTCATTCTCACTTGGTGCTTATGAGATTTGAGCCTGTGTTGGATCTCGTGGTGATGCTGTTGCGGGTGGGTGGGCGGGCATGCGTTGCAGGAGATGTTGCTGCGCTGTTTTGCGAATTCTTGGAGGTTTGCATTCACCAGCTTCTGAGTGTGCGAGAAGTGTACCCGCCAGGTTAGTTCAGTTGTGTTCTTCCTTCAGTTTTTTTATTTTATTGTGTGGTGGAGAAGGGGGTTCTGTTGCTGTGGATTTATGGTCTCGCTTGCCAGGGTTTGTGTTTTGGACTCTGTGAGAATTGATGTTGGTTTCGTTGTTGGGAGCCTGTCTGCAGCGATCTTTGAAAGGCGGCGGTATTTTAATGTTCCTGTACAGTGGGCTCGTCATCCTGATTTGAGGGAGTACATACATTCAGCGGTCTCCAACCTCCAGACTTGGATCCAGCAAGTAAGAATGTTCAATCTCTTGGTGTAATATGGTGAAGGGTTGGTGCTTGGTGTTTTGAATTCCCTAATAGTTTCTACTTGGCTGTCGGTTCTCTGAATATGTAATCTCTTGGCCATCTCGTGTCCCATGTAAGGTCTCTAGTATCTTCATCAGGAGGGATTTTGATCTTGAAGTAAAGTGGTATCACACTCGAGTTTAAGCATTGTAACGACTAAGCGAGGAACATAATCTCAGGGTGCAGCGGAGAAAATCGCAATAAAGTTTCTGGACGCTAACCAAATTCCAGTGGAGAAGGTTATCTTCAAGTTGTGTCTCAAGAAGCTGACAGGGACAGGATTGCCCGCACAACACCTTGAATTCGCTCTTCGAGGCTTCCTCCTCAAGATCTGCGTTAGTAACTCTGCGCTGCCACCTTTACCTCCAGGCACGATCGCATCTGCTCGCTTGAACTCCTTTCAATTGATTCTCGTGACCCAGTGAGATGAAGATGAACGAAAGGCACACTTCTATTGCCTTAAGTGATAACAATCTTCATCTTGGTTGATTAAGATGATGACCTTTAATCGAGTTTTAAGTTATGCTATTGTTGGACGAGCCATTCCAGGCTCGGTCATATTCCTCGAGTGTCTCATTAGTGCTCACGGAATTAATATTTGTGGTGCGGTATCCACCCAGTTGACGCGGCGTGTATTCGCTGTGACAGACTGTTCGTGGGAGCTGGTTGCTTATATGAAGTCACTCTCTGCTGACAATGCCAGCAAATCTCAGTTCTGGATACCTGCTGATCCTAACGACCGTTCGAACCAGAGCTTCACAATCACAACCATCAAGTCAATGCGTAGCAGCTACTTGGACATGCAGTTGTACGTCGAACGCCCTGGAGTAGAACCTCAAAAAGAGAGTAAAACGGAGCCTTAATGGAACGTGTGGGTTCTGGAGCTCAATCTCTCGTACGTGTGTTCATTCCAAACGTGGCATGGGTACCTGTAGCAGTCGTATTCTTCGCATCTTCGCATCTTCGCTTTTGGAGAAATATGATTCTGTTACAGAAAGCGCTTTTCCAGGAGCTTTTTGTGGATACACAGGGTTTAGAAATTTAGGTTGGGGTTAACATTACACTCTTTGTGGCGCGATCCTGAACTTTAAGTTGCAATCCTTGTGGAATTTAGTTGCACTGACGGGGTTTTGCTCTTTTTATTTTCTCGGATTTTGAAAAAGAAAAATGTCTAAATTTCCCCCTTCTACTAAACCTTGGCGTTAACTTGGAATTAAATAAACAAATCTCATTCTTTTCGAAGACCCGACGTTCGGAGGTTTCGGAGCATCGACAATTGAAAATCAGATGTGGTGGGCTTTTTGGAGGTTTTCGTGACAACCCTGTCTGTGATTTGTTCTTTCTGCAGCTCATTTGCGAAAACAATACGAATGTAGGCAAGCAGTCCAAGCCTCCTTTTTGGAATCCTGAAATCATTAGTAAATGATCGAACTTGTATTGTACGTTTATTTATACCGTACGTTCTGTTCAACCTCTCCATGACGTTAGGGTTTGGAGGTTGAATGGGTCGAACCAAGAAATTTATTGATCGGGACGGGAGTAAGTACTCTAACAAGAGGTCATATTTCTTCTAGCACCAACTCCAGAAGTCCAATTTCTTAATTTTGGAGTCTATGGGGGTCGTTCGCCTGTGTGATCGAGGTATGAGATCGGCAACTTCATTGCTTGCTGCCTTACAGGTGTTCAATGCTGTACCATTCCTGTACAGTTCTGTTGGACTGCGTTCAATTTCTCTTTTTGTATTTCGCAGGAGATGTTGGAGAACTTGTTTGCGAGTTTTTGGAGGTTTGCATCCATCAGCTCTTATGCGTCCGAGAACTTTACCCACAAGGTGTGACGAATCTCCCTCTCAATTCCATCCTTTTGCTTAAGAAGAACCATCTCGAATCGTAAATCGGTAGTAAAAATCTTTTCCTATGTATCAACTGCTGCAAAGAGTTGGAAGTTCTGTAGGATGGTATCGAACACTGTCAGTTTCTGAAGAATCAAGTGTGTATGCAGAGATCTTTGAGAGACGGCGATACATCAATACCCCTGTGCAGTGGGCTCGGCACCCTGATTTGAGGGAGTACATACATTCGGCAGTCACTAACCTTCAACCATGGGTTCAGCAAGTAAGTACCTTATGATTCTCTTGTGAGAATTTGGTTGATGTTTTTGCTTTCTGGTTCAAAGCTGGCAAAAAGCCACACGCCTGTTATGATAACTTCCATCATTTCGTTCCTTCTCTCCATGTATTTTCAGATGATACTGTTGGTGTTGAATAAAGCTTTGGATCCCTTCTGATATGTCAGAACTTAAATGACAGGGAGTTGTAGACAAGGTCACTCTCTTAGTGATGAACAAGAATCGGACACTGGAAGAGAAGTTTGTGTTCTCTTTCGGCCTCAAGCAGCTGTCCACCGCAGGAGTACCAGCACAACACCTTGAATTTGCCCTTCGAGGGTTCCTTCTTAAGATATCCGTTTCTGATTCTTTCTTGTCGCCTTTACCCCCTGGTAAGAATTATACCCTCCATTTTTGTTCACTTCTGCCCTAATTTAATAAAGAATTCTTTGTATTGTGGAACTGTATTACTCTTAGGCTACTCGAGTCGCTTTTTTAAAACTGCCGTGTGAGTGGAGAATATTCCTGTCTGAAACATTTTGACAAATCTTGCTTCATGTGACACTGTCCTTGATTTGTTTAACTCCGCCCTTGGACCTCAAATCCTTTTTTCTCTTCAATTCTAGAAAACTAAGGAATTGAAGCTATCTTATTATTATTTTTTATAGATTGTTCGTGGGAGCTGGTTACATACCTGAAGTCATCTTCTCTCGACACCATTAACAAAGACCAACCTTGGGTACCGGCTGACGACGAGGGCTGGGACCAGAACTTCATAATGACATCCATGAAGTCAATGCGTAGCAGTTATCTGGACATGCAGCTCTACGTAGAACACTCCGTTGAAAAACCCACGGACGAATAGACCACTTGACCGTGACCGAGATTATATGCTCAACAAAGCAACCGTGATCTGTATGCGAAACGAATGTATAAAATAAAATTCCATTGAAAACCTCATTCCTAGCACAGTAGCCAAGTTTACGTTGCAGACATTGTGGTCTCTGAACTAGAACTAGGTAAGCTCAATCTGGAGGTGCTATAACGAGTTACAAAAGAGTTCTGAGCGGGAGTTAATGCTTCGAACTCTTTTGAAGTTTTTTTTTACTTCTCAAGACCTCTGCAACATCAAATGTGCACTACGGCTCTCTAGTCACCGAATGCTGTTTTCAGTTCAGACAAGTCCTGACATTGCAGTAGTACTGGAATCGCTGAAGCACATTGCAAGCTCCAGGAAGCAACGGCGCTCAAAATCCTGTTCCGTTTGAAAATATTTCTAGACCTACTTATCTAGGCAGTTCTTTGAGCCCCTGTTTCTGTAGAAGCTCACCATCACATTGATAGCCTGGAAACCACAACCTACGTCTACATTGGGGGCCCCTCTTCTTCTTCTTCTTCTTTCTTTATTTTTTATTTTTTTTATTTTGGGGGGAGAGGGGGGGAATTGGATGTGTGCTGGCGGAGTTACCGAGGCACCGAACTAGAACTGATGGGGTATGAATTGGTTGTAGATTTTTGGGACTTTTGGCGGTGTGGGTTTGGGTTTTTGCTACTAACTGCTTCAACCCATTCAAGGGCTCTTAAGCCTGTGAAGATCATACGGTGTTGGGTATGTCCTGCATTTTTTTTTTTTTTTTTTTTTTTTTTTGCACTTTTTTTCACTTTTTTGGAGGACTTTGGGATGAAGGGCAATTTAACTACATTTGCACGATTAAAAGAAGAAAAAAAAAAAAAAAAAAAAAAGAAGGTGTACGCAAGGATTTGCAATTCCTGAATATTTTTTTAATTTTCCAAGTGTACTTTGTTTGATTGTTTTGTAGGGTTGTAGTTTTAGAGCTTTTTCATTGTTTGCAATCGTGCTTGACGCTGTCTGAATCAGTGAATTGTGTTCATCAAAGATTTTTTTTTTTTTTTTTTTTTTTTTTTTTTTTTTCTAATTTACTTCATTCTAATTTAGCACAAGACAATTTAAACATAACCAAATTTTAGACATTAATAACTTTAAATGTTGACTACAATATTAAAATTACATCTTTTAAGGAGAAAAATAAGTTAGTAATTTTTTTAAATGATTCTTCAAATTATATATATATATATATATATATATATATGAGGATTTTATTAAAGGCTTGTGCATGAGAAGAACAAGTTGCTACAACTTTTCTAACTTTGCTTCTACTTTTACTAACACTATCTTATTTATGACCTTGTAAATTGACGAAAAGTTAATTAATAAGAAAATTTAAGTTCTTAAAAATATCTTTTGGTTTATTCAAATCTTCTATTTATTTGGCAATTTTTTTATATAAGTACAAAGAACTTAACTACAATCACTAAAACTACAAAAAGAATAAAAAATTGAAAATACAGAATTGATTTAAAGTATTAAAGACTAATTAATAAATAAATTGAACTTTGATATCTTTTCAAATAGATAGAAAAAAATCTATTGGATACAAGTTGGTTTTTATAATTATATAAAATTTATATACATAAGTAGAGCAATAGAAAATTCAAAAATTAAAAAGTAATATTTTTCTAACGATATTTTTTTAAAACAAATTGATAATATCAAGGTATATCAAGATATATAAATATATATATATATATATATATATATATATTTCAGTTAAATAAAAGACTATATATTGAAAGATTTAGCATTTAGCAATTGTAAGTTTTTCAATATCATCTATAGACTTGAACAATTTTCATAGGCCATGGTACATAAATATAGGTGAATACATTTTCTTCAATTTTTCTTTTTTTAAATACTTATATATTTTATTTTTTTTAGAATAAATAGTGAATTCCACTTTATGTATATGATTTAATAATAGATTACTACAATAAGGTATTTTATCAAAAGACAAATAATTATTTAGCCAAAAAAACTTAAATAAAGTATTTAAAAATAAACTATTATATTTTAGAGGTGCATATTACTAACAATTTTTAAAAACCACACAAATTTCTTCTATTGAAAAAATATCATAGAAAGATACTTAAATAGTTTAGAAAAGAAGATTTAGATGCGGCACACATGATGATCAGAAAAGAACACAAGACACTGTTTATTTCTTAGTTAAAACCACACCATCTCTGACCCAACACTATCCTAACTTGTGATGCTATTGCCCAGAATCCACTAAGTACTATGCTAATTCTCAACTATCCCATTGTGTTTTTTCTAACCATTAATTTTGGCCGTCTTGTAATAGCAGCTTAGTGTTCTTCTAATACCATGCTATGAGAGTACTTTGGTGAATATCATTTGCCAGTGGGCAACAGACTCTTATAGCAAATTGTCAAGAACTCAAGTCTATAATATTTTAAAGGAATTAAAGACTATCTTATTATTATATAGTTGGTAAAGATTGGAAATTTTTAATCAACACATGGTTAATTTTTGTCCATAATGTTAAAGAAATATTTAAAAAATATACATAATAAGTAATGATTTTTTGATGATTTTTTTAATTTACTTATAATGTGATACTACAATCTTCAAATATATGTATACATTTATTCATAAGAATAAGTTTTTCTGTAGTAAATTATATATATATATATATTAAAGAAAAATTTGTAGTAGTTCAACATTATTGATTTTTACATGTTTGGCTGGAATATTGTTTATTAATTTAGAAGTTAATTTATATAATTCTTCTTTATAAATTATAATTATTTATATATACTGACTAAATATATATAAATTATGTTTCATGAAGATTATAGTTTTATAAAAATATTCTATGAAATTATTATACACTTGTTGATATACTTATTTAAAGGTTTGAGAAAAATATGATAGAATTTTGAAAACTATCAATGTTACTTCAATTTAAAATTATTTATTTAATTTTAAAAAATAAAAATATAATAACGTTGATTACATTCTAATCAAGATTTTTTTGAAATCAATGGATTCAATGGATATCAAACATTATTATTCAGAATTCAAAAATATGAAGTATTTGGTGTTAGCCTTCAATAATAAATAAATAAATAATATTCTTTAATTTTCTACATGTATTTAATTTTAGATCGAATTCTTAAAATTTATGAAAAGTTATTCCCTTAAGTTTATTGTTATTATCCAAATTTTAAAACTTCAAAAGACTCTTGCATACAAAGTCTTCCAATGATGGGAAGCACTTTTTGGTGTTGGAGTTGCGAGACAATTGAGCTCTAATTTTAAGATACTAATCTGGTCTCACTCAGCTGAAGCATCTTGAGTCTTCATATTTGTGTATGTATGGTCTTCTTTCTGTTTTTAAGTGATTCCATGTCAGCTTCTTATTTTAAAATACATTTGTCACAAGAATAGATGTTCAATTTTAAAGTGACATCACATTCAAAGTAGAAAAACGTGAAAATGCAAAGAGCTTCTCCACTAATGCTCTTTGGTGTGATGCATGCATGGATTCCATCTAATTTTAGATTAAATATATAAATATATATTTTTAACTAGTTAGCTCCATTGAATACCAACCTTGGTAAAGAATGTTTATTTTCATATTTACATGTAATTTGATTTGATTTGATCATATTTTTGTTTTGTTTTATTTTATTTTATTAAATGTAATGAATTGGTATGAGATAGCTATGCAATAATTTTGGTGTTGTACAAAAAAGCATGGTTCAGGTTCATGCTAAAGACAAACTCTTAATGTGTTGAACTTGCAAATATATATATATATATATATACATGTAGGATTATTTAGTTAATTGGCAACATCACCAGGTTTCTGGTATTTATCTAATTTTATTTATTTATTGATAATATATATATATATATATATATATATGTAATTTACAGAACCCACCTAAGAAATGATAAAAAAAATCATCAATTTTTCAAAACACTTGTTGATGGTCAAGGTCAACAAAAGTTAAGAAAAATTTATCAACACCCATCAATCAATGGAAGGTAATGAAACTGGTCTCAAGCACTGAACACTGTTAGTCAACACATTTGACTGATTGAGACCAACCATTTTAAAATCATCATCTTATTCATTCAAATGCTTTGTGCCATTAAGAGCCGCTTCACAAGGCCTCCTTTGGTAGTAGCCATGTGCTTCACCTTGGCATCATCTCCCTTGACCATTTGACTTATAAAAAATGGTATAATTTCTGCAGTTTTAATGACCCAATTTTTCATTGTACGGTCAAATGGGTGGAAGCTATTGAGGAATGAGCAGGTAGAGAGGTCTCTCCTTTGACCATGTTATGTTTGGACTTGAGTGATGTGGTCAAACCCTAATTTCAAAAAAAAATAAGAATGAAAAATCATGTGGATTTGGGCTAAGATAGGCAAATGTGAAGTAATTCTCTCTGGAAATTTTTTTTAGGGTTTTAGAATCGAAACCCATGTGATTTTTGTAACTGTACAATTTTTATTCTTATCCTTTCAAAGGTACTCTGAGAGTAGTAAAACAATTGTAGAATGAGTACCCATTTTGGCAATCAAATGATGCTGATGGAATATTTATATTGTTATGGTGCAAGAGAAATAATGCTTTTCAGGCTATAATGGTGTTGTATTCATCCCTTATTAATTTTCGGTACATAAAATACAAAAAAATAAATAAAGATAATACTGTTTAACCAAGATTGTTTTTTTGTAATGGCCAATTCATCAAAAATAAAAATAATAATAATGCTGTTGTATGCATTTAGAAGGAGTATATATATATATATATATATATATATATAAGGCTCACAAAGAGGAACCTAAAAAAAAATGAACATATGGGATTTTTTCTTTAATTTTAAAGTTGAAAAAACATTTCATTCTCAAGAGTGACAACTAAAAAAATCTGTGTGTTGGATCAACAGTTTCTTCCTCATCCAAAATTCACTCCAATTTGAAAATTACATCAAAACTGACAATCAGCAAATACACCAATGCTTCAATAAACGCATTTATTGAAATAAATTCCCTTTTCAACATATACAAATAAATAAACAAACAAATAAGAGTGATGTGTGGTCATACACACATGGATTGGTCAAAATGGGGAATGAGGAGTCCAAGGTATTTGACATGCAAGAAGTGATAAGAACAATAAAAGTAGAAGTGCTGTAAAGACATAGAATGCTCTGGAGTATCATTAAATAAACGAGAGCATTCTAGAGCCCAGTGCCCTTCTTGGGATTACACTGTTCTCCCGATTTGTCTCTCTCTTGGCCTTTGTTTCTCTGTGTCCGTGTGTAAGTGTGTGTGTGTGTGTTTCTCTGTCTGTTTGTGAGTCTGTTTTGTCTTCTTATTACTTACTGGTGGGCAGGGAGGGGCCCTTTCCATCTTGAGACTTTCCCTTCATTTTACTAATTTATTTAGCTTTGCAATATGGGTTCTTTTTAGTGTTTATAATACATCTTTTGTGCAGGAGAAGGCTCATAACATGATGATGCATACACAAATCTCAAAATGTGCTGTCAGCAATTGTTTTAAGCTTGAGATTGAGCCTGCTCAAAGTTTAATTTTTTGGTTTGTTTGTGTGTATTGATTGTTAAGTGTATTTTTCAAGTTGGAATTGTGAATTTTAAAGCTGACATGTCCAGTGCAGAAGATTTTATTTTGTTTTGTTTGTTCATTGTGATGGATGGATGTGAATGAAGCAAAAAAGAAAAAAGTAAAAGACATTGGTGAGACTAGAATGTGGGGAATTAATCACCATTAAAGAAATTTCAGGATTCGTCCTCATACCATTTATCATCATCTTACACAATCCATTCATACTATGCATTGCAATATATTAAATAAACTGAGTAGAAGTAAATTCAAACACAAAATTTATATTATATTTAAATCTTAAAATAAGTCATATATTTTTATAATAATTTGTTGAATATGATTAAATCACTCAAATATTTATATAGCAAACAATAATCCAGTGCTACATAGAATACCTTTTTTTTTTCTTTTTTTTTTTTCAATTAAAATTTTCATAAGTTTTCATATCTTATGCAATCTACTTGTTGCAAAACTATCATGTTTTGCAATGACCTAAAGTTTAAACCTGGGAAACATTATCATACAACAAGCATGTATTGCAGAGCTTGTGTTGAGAACAAAACAATACTTCAATACATGGGTTTATGCAATGTGTAACAATGTCACATTCTGTACAAGAAAAATGTCATTCTCTTCCATACCCATTACTCTGAGTGCAAACAGAAACATGAAATTTTACTATTATATAAAGCCAATGCTTCTTTCCACTATTATTCTTATTATTATTATCAGAAACTCAATCAAGGAACCAAACATCAAAGGCCTGATCCCTCCTCATGTGGGCCCCTTTAATGACAGAGCAGCCAGGTGGTAAGAGGTAGTGGCTCCCCCCCCACACCCCCATCTCAATGTAGAGCCTTCATATTTCATTTCCCACATCATGACATGCCACAATATATCATCATCTATCTGAATGAGCATCTTAAACTCAGTCTGCATGGCTAGACAACATTCCTTCATTCATTCATACAACAACACAAGCCAGGAGGAGGAGGAGGAGCCAGCTTCATGTTTGCTTGTGGGGTAGGCATGTATTTGTGTGTGTAATATCACCTGCATTGTAATGTTACTCTTACTGCCTGACTGCCTTTGTCTTTTTCTTCTTCTTAGTGGCTGTGGAATTAGGAGATGCCTGAAGCAACTGCATAATGTTTGCATCATTAAAGGGAAAAGGGGCATTAAAAACTGTTAAACCCTCCATAAACCAGGAAAGCCCCCTTTTTCCAGCTCACGTGGTCATAGGGTCTCCTTTTGACTGTGGACTGCTGCCATTGCCCACCCCATGACCCCAACACCCACCCACACTCAAAAACCTCCAAGACCCGCGTCCGATGGACCAATTCATGACCGCATGGTATCGGATCGCCAGGGTATCAGCATCGCGGTGTGAAGGCAGCGGGGTGGAGCTGGTTGGGCGGGTATAGGGGGCTGCTGGACGGGCCACGCAGCGACAAAGTAGTTGCTGGAAGAATGTGCACTCACCATCGCCGCTCTCTCTGTCTCTCTCTCCCTCTCTCTCTCGCTCTCGCTTGGGGCCAAGTGTTGTGGAGTGAGGATTTTGTCACTGCGGTGCATGTGGTGGAGTCATTGATTGAGTGTGTTCAGCTACAGTGGCTCTGCGGATGCTACCAACGATCACAACATTCCTTGAGTGTGGCAACTGTGAGCGTGTTTCTGGTGAGCAGGAGTGGGGGAAATTGAGGTTTCTGTGAGCAGATTTGCAGTAGAAATGAATGGCATAGTCGTGTCCAAGAAAAAGTGTTACTGAGGTGGCTTATGGTTGTCAGAATACATCGCTTCGCCTGTATCATCGGAGTTTATGAATACTTTCTGCGGTGTTGTAGTCGTCAACAATTGTTGTGCATCTCTGACAACTCATCGTGAAGTGGGATTTTGTTTTATTCTAACGAACCCCACATGAGCTCTCGCTGTGACGGGCTTACGACCTCGAGCAGACTCCTTGAGCCCTAATCCGAGCCTCGTCACTGTCTTGGTCAAAGCCCATGATGGCAGTCCCTCCCAACAACTTAGTCGTGCTGTGAGTACTCGGGGAGAGACATACGTGAAGCCCATTCCACATTTGACTCTGCTGGAGAGATGGCTCTGCAACTGTAATTTGGTATCCGTCTCCAGTTATATCCACTGTGCTTTAGCTGCGGCAGGCAACGAAGCTGAGATCGCACTGCTCCTCACCCGAGGGGGATTCGTCATAGATGGCTGGTTTCTTCAGCTGGACAGTAATCAGTTAAATGCTCTGTCACAGGAGTTGGCTGGTTTTTACGCATTATCCTCCACTAGGTTTGCTTCCGACGTTGTGAACCAGGCAGTCTAGGAGGCTCTCTACCGACATCAGCACATGATCACTGCAGCGGTGCTAGGGTGAACTAGAATGGTTTTTTCCTACGGCGCAAGGAGGGAGCTGGAATACAATATTTCATAGGTTATACGTGAATTTTTAGAGAGCCGACGGGAAAGGTGTGTGTGTGGGCGGCGCCTCAGTAGCGCTGAGGTTCTGAAAGCGCCAGAAGAGATAACTCTTGGTTTGGTTTACTACGGGACATGTGCACGACCTCAGGAGTGAAAGTATGTCTCGGAGGTGAAGCTTCTCGAGCAACCAGAACTTGGCGGTGAGTCTGATGCTCTGTTCTTTAAACATTTTTTGCACTGGGTATACTTCACGTATTCATCTCGGGGATGGACTCAAGTCATTAGCACATTGGACAGGATGGTACGAGTGCTCTCTGCCCTGACCTTGCACGTCAGCAGCCTGAAAAGGAATTTGATGCATATCGTACTTGGTGTTTTTCAGTCCGTTGTCCAGCAATGCCTGTCCATGGTACGAAATATTTTTAACGCCATCACCATAGAATTTTAGAACCCGAAGAGCGGTGGAAATAAAAACAGTAGATTCTGCTTATCGGCGTCGTTTGGTAATGCCGAAAGAGGCTCCAAGTGAGTCTAACTCCAAGTCAGGGACCAGTAGCATGGCGAAGTTAAGCGCAAGCGAGAAGGAGAAGACGAAGCTAAGGGAGCGGCAGAGACGAGCCATCACTACTAAAATTTTTGCTGGCCTCAGAAAATACGGGGGTTACAATCTGCCCCCTCGCGCTGACATTAATGACGTTTTGAAAGCTCTGGCCTCCGAAGCCGGATGGGTGGTGGAACCCGACGGCAACACTTATCGCTCCCAGGTAACCTCCATGCCCGGGCCTTGCGTCCATTCCTTGGGATTCTCAATGCACAACGTTTTAATTCATTTAACTGCGCGCTAATGGTGTACTCTTGCAATCAATGAAAGCAGCTCTCGCTAATGCTCTTAGCTAGATAAATTTAAGTCCAAAGCTTCAAAATCTTATTTATTCAATGCAAGGGGATTACCCCGTCTGTGTCAAAAAGGAGAAAAAGAAAAGAAAAGAAAGAATCCTACTTTTTTGTTAAAGAATTTGATAGTTGCCCTGAATTAGGGCTGGTGAAGGATACTTCAAGTTGAATGAGTAGCGACCAAGTAGAATAATCGTGATTGATCATCAATTATTCAGCCACCAGACCAGAAATCTTGCTCTTGTTTGACTTGATTGGATGTAGTAATTTTCTGCATCTCAACTATATTCACATTGATGTATCTTGTTTGTTTCGTTGTGTTCAATTGCAGCATCTCAAACGCGTCCATGTATTGTCTGAGCAGGGATTCTCGCAGCCTTCGAGCAGCCTGCACCACTCCCTTCGTCAGAGCAACCCTGCCATGAATCGCCTGCAGCAGCTCATCCAGCCTCCGACCACGATCAATGCCGGGTTCAACTGCACGCTAGCGGGGCTCATGGGGGACGCAGGGGAGCTTCGTGAGGGCAACTGCTCGACGACCGCCTCTCCGAGCCACCACTCCATGGGCGGGGCCGCTGGTCACCACTCCAACAGCTCCTCAATGACCCTCATGGGCTCCGGGTGCATCTCCAACTCCCCCTTCGCCTCCCCGGCGTCCAGCGAAGGCGGCGCCCCGAGCCAGCGTCTCTCCCAAGGAAACCCTTACTTTACAGGCCTCTCCAACGGTTTCCTCCCCTCCTGCGGCCAGGTTCTCTCGGATTGCCACGACGGCGATTCCTCAGGGATCAAGGAGGAATACGCAGCGGCAGCGACATACTTCAGCGCCGACACTCTCGACGCCCGAGACTTCCAGATGCAAAGAGCCACTCTGGACGTAGCTCCACACCTTCTCAACTGCCGAGACTTCTCAGGCAGAGGCTTTCTCAACCACACAACCACCTCCATGAATAATTCAATGTTCTTCAACACCGCAGCAGCAGCAGCAGCACAACCAGCGCCAAATCGGTTCAGCAGCTCGCGCGCCGCCGATCCGCATCTGTCCAGCCTCATGATGCTGAGCGCGGGGCACCCGTTGTTCTTGCAAGAACAACGGGCGTCTAACCAGAACACCCCCTTGGGATCACCCCGGCTTCAAGACCCCCACTGATTGATACCCTCCCCTCCCCTCCCCTCCCCTTCCACCTAGGTAGGTTCTCCAGGATCCCCACCCACTCTCATCCCCCACCCCCACACTCACCGTCGCCGTCGCCGTCGCGGAGTAATCCTCGACGGCGCTCTGTCGCTTGCGCTCGAGCTCCGTCCCGTTATCCGGCGGGATCCAGCCAAGCTGCGGCACGAGGCCCCCGTTTTTGGTGACGGAACAGCTTGTGGGGGCGCTGGATTTAGACTTGTGCGTGGTGTTTTTGCTGCCAGCATCCCTGATCCGTTGCATGGTCAGGACGCTTGAGGGGCTGTTCTTTTGGCCATGAGCTTTTGCCCTTTGCTCTAGTTTCCGAATGGGTGATTTTCATGTTCCGATTTCATCTATTTATCGAGCTGAATATATAAATATTCACACATTTGTGCGTACATGTGAAGGAAGAGAAATCAGAGGGAAGAAAAGTGAAAAAGCAATAGAAAACATTATTGCTCTTCACAATATTTTCTTTTTGTTCTTTAAATAAAAATTTTGAATGCGCATACTGATGATTTTTTATTTCATGTAGCTTTCCTACTTCACCTAGAATAGTGCCATTTTGGTCTACCAACAAAACAAAACACAAAACTAAGCTAGAAATTGCTGATTTAAGCAACAATGCACAAAGTGTTTTGTGTAAAAATAACATAGAACAAAGGTATCCCGAATTTATCAAGGTATGCTAAGAACTTTCAAGACATTTATTGAAAATAAAGAAAAAAAGAGAACACACACACACACATACAACTTTGCAACATGTTAGCACAACCAAACTTTTAGCCCCTTTTCTTCTTTAAAAAACACTTGTCAAACCATATTTTGTTACCCAAAATGTGAAACAAACACCAGGGGATCAAAGACGAAGCTCAAATGTGCAGTAGTTTGGAAATAAATTTAAAACAACAATATCTTCTGGTTTTGTAGACGCAAAGCACCGGACAGGAGACAGTGGCCTCGGTGCTCTAGCTCCACCCTCACTAGACAGAACAGACGCACTCAGATACACTCACCCCACACACACCCACACCCACTTCCCAAGTCTAGACGCAAAATCACACACACAGAGCCTCGCCAGCTCAGCCCAGCACAGCCCAGCTCAGCACGGACACAGGTCCAGATGAGGGAGGCTCTATTGGAACCAGTCTGTGGGATTTGGCGATGACTCGTCTGTACTCACGCCGAAGTTTGCATGGGCGCCGCGGCCGCGCCGTCGTGCTGCATCGGGACGCAGCCTTGCGGCCGGTTGACGTGCCGCGAGGCTGGCATGGCGTCAGCGTCACCTCTGGGTGCTGCCGCTGCTTGGATCGCTGTGTTGCCCATCTGCGACAATGGGTCGATGTTTGCGAATGGAGCTGATCCATGCGAACACGATGTTTCTGCAGGCATGGTGTACTTGACTTTTGGTGCGATTTTGGGTATGAGAACTAGTGCTGGCACTTCGACGCGAGTGCGTTTGGGTGGGGGACCTGTGCTGGTGCTCGCAGTGTGCGTCCACGAGGTGGGTTGTTGGGAGAGTTTGGAGGGAGTGATGCCCGGGAAAAGGTTCGAGGAGTCGGAGGGGTGGAGCGCCTGACTCACGGCGTTTGAGAGGAGTTCACCGTTGGTAATTTGGTCCGAAGGGATCCCCAGAGCGTGCCCTGCGATGACTTGCTCGATGATCATTCTCTGGAGGTTGGCACCCTGCTCTTCAATCCGCAGCTGAAGCTGCCGCTGGGTCTGCCATCGATCAACACCAACACACTCTTAGATACGATTGAAGGTTGCAGCAGTTTTGAATTCGGAATTCTAACTCGTAAGCTCATGAATGCACGAATTGTTAGATTTCAATACAATGGATCAACATGTTCTAGACCTCGAGCTGTTCGTGCAGACGCTTTTGTACCTCCATTTGCATCTGCAGTGCTTGGGACATCTTCGTAGTGCTTTAGGGAACCAACCAAAGAGTTAGACTCTCGAACGTTTTAAAGTTCATAAGAAGTAAAAAAAAAACAGTATGAATCACATCGCAAGAGGGAGAGGTAACTTACGAGGTTACGTCGAAACCTCCTTGGCAGTGATTGTGGCGCTTCCGCTCACACTTGGATTCTGCATTTCCAAATCCCCCGTGGACAGCAAAGTTTATTTCTATCACTTTGCGCTCCATATTCAAATGAAGCATTCATGGTAAAAATTTACGATGAAGTCATGAGATGAGTGAGAATACCTGCAGTGGACGTCTCAGGGATAAGCCGGTACTTCTGCAGATGACTCTTGACATGATAGATCGTAATGTCGTTGCATCCCATCAAACGCAGCACTGACTTAGGCGTTGCTCCTGCGAGCCATGTGATCAACCTATGTCAGTACCTAGTATTATAATGATGGGAGAAACCACAGAAGAGCTCTCGACTTGGACGAGTTCCAAACCTGTAGGATCTATATGGAATGAGAGTTGAGTAGACAAAGGCTGCGATTCGCTTACGATCAGGACCACCGAGCTTGGCAACAGCCGCGACAAACTTTTCGTGTAGTGCAGGAGTCCACCGTAAGCGAGCCTTGGCAACCTCAGCAGCTGAGAACATTGGTGTAGCTTCGATAGAGGGCCCTGGACTCCCTCCTGATGTTGCTACTGTAAGTTAAAATAAAATAAAATAAAATAAATAACAGGATGAATGGTGAGGGTGATCGCCAGGTTCAACTTTCCTACAACCTCTTCCTAAACTTTACTGAATTGGACCAAATTTTGAATGGGACAATGTGCACGGTCGGGCGCAGACCAGTTGATCGCTGTGACTGTTCGGCCTGCGGGTGTTGGGTAGATAGCAGAGGGGAGGAGGCCACCGTCTGAGGAGCGATACTGGGCTCCTGGAGCTGCAATTGAGCACAAATACACAAATTGAACACACTACAGCCTTTCGTAACGCAACACACCATTCTCAGAACTGCTTTCGACAATGTCATGCTACAAGAAGTTTGAAATCCTCAACAGTTGAATTGCAGAGAATCTGGAATCATCGAAAAACGACAGTCTTACCATGTCAGGAGGATTAGCCATCTCCCTCCGATGGATGAGATGAGGCCAGCCGGAGGTTTCCCATTCAGACTTTAGAATTGGACTCTTGACTGGCTGTGACAAGTTACTGCCGTCGGGTTGCTGGGAGCTAGAAGCTTCAGCTAGTAACACCTACAGCCACGAGTAAAACCCAACTCACACAGCATTAGAATCTAATCCATCCAACTTGATGCCGTGCACATGTTTCAGATTACGCTGACAATGTGCGACAATATGCAATCCGCGGTCGACTGCTTGTAAACTAGTGAGAATTAGCATGACCTCTTCATCGACATGATACTGTAAGAGGCGGAATCATTGCTTGTAGCAGAGGACTGGATCAAACTTTTACGCCCAGGGCATGTTCGTGTGCGGTGCACAATTACAGAGCTTTAGTAAATGGTCTCACCTGAAATGAATCAAGGCGCGTGTTTGTAGTCGCCGCGGGAACTTTGGCAGTGGCTTCTTGTGAACTGACAAAGTCTGATACTGCAACTGGCATCATTGGAGAGGGTTTGCGTAAAGCTGATTCGGATGCGGGCTTGGCAAACTGGGTGTAGGGGCAATTCCAGAGGGGGTTGGTTTCAGCTTGGAGGGGGAGACTGAGCGTTTCTCCTTGAGAATGAGTCAAGGCTAAACTGGGAGGACTACCAGGCGCTAGTACATTTGACGTCTCAATGGCCGAAGGTGCGCCTTGCCATGGCGGAGCGCAGTTAGGCTCTCGGAACTGCGAATTGTTATGTTCGTTCCTATGAGACCACTCCGGTGACTTCAGTTCCGAAGCGGAGTCGGCTAGAATCGGAACCTGCTGCCGGCTGCCATGTTCATGCGACGCCATTGCAACGTTCACCACGTACTGGAGGTCGTAGTCCTCATGGAATCCTTGCGGTGCCACAAAGAAGCTCTGCCCTGATGAGGCCTTTGGCGAAATCACCTGGCTGCCGCCAAATACCTCAGATATGCTTTGCGCCCGGTTGAGACTTAAACTTGTGCCATCTTCCTGTCGTGAGACAAAGCGCGCAAGGGGTGCGACGCACTCCTCGCTAGCACCTGCTACGCAACTTTGCGATGCTGGCACATGAGACGCAGAGGCGCTTGAGATGGGTGCCATGCTGGCGACCACGCACATGAGATCCCTGCTCTATAACCTGATAAAAATCCCAACCACTTTCTCCCACTAGCACGCTTCTGGAGATGAAATTTCAGTGAGTACTCACCCCGGTTGATGCGCCTGCCCCTTGGCAACTACGATGACCGATTCTCCAAGTATTCACGCAGAAACGATACACTTGTGTGTTGTCGTTGGGGTATCCGAAAGTAGCTGGAGCGATGGTAGTCTATGGTTGAAGAAACCAAGCGATCAATCACCAACAAGGTTCTTGTGCAGCTGTGTAATCCTTCACCAACTCCTGCCCAGTACACAGACCAATCCATTTGCAAGCTCACGCTCATCCTGTACGGTCTCTCCTCATGGCTCATCAATTCACGTAAATCTCGCAAGATCTAATGACTCGTCCCGTCCGCAGGAAAAATTTCTCGGACTCACGCAGAATCTGCATAAACTTGTGAGATGCAGACTCCATGGTTACCGGCCATGGACGATCGGCTTCTCGTTAAGAGCTAGTCATTGCATACAAGGTGTGTTCTTAATCCAAAGCGCGCAGACCCTACAATCGACACTCCACCATCATTCACCACCACCAACCTCAATCGCGGCCACCAGTGCGAAATCCCTTTGCACCACCCTCTCCTGTCCATATACTCTCCCGTGGTACACGCTCTGCTCCTTTGTCTACAACCTCGCAAGATGAATTTTTGAGCACTCTAGAATATCACTCGGACCTCATCGCACTAACCTTCTCTGAACTACACCAAGACGAAATCCGAATTCGTCGCGATCGCTCAAAAAACACCACTTTCCTGATCTGAATCCAAAGTGTCCACGGCACAACCACAGACGGACTCTACAGAAACCAATCATCACAACCGTAATACAGTCGATGGAAATAGGGACGCAAGGGGGGATGGTTTGTCTGCGAGACAGTCGTTTTCTAGCGCTCAGCACACCTCGGTGAGAGAGATCAATTGTAGACGGGGCACGACTGCGGAATGGCCCTGTCACTCCCCAGCAAACACTCTGACACGAACACTAACTTCCAAGGAGGCTTGAGGTTGTCAGGGCGACGGATGCACAACATCAGGACTCGTCGCGAATATCATCGACTACGAATATATTGGGGCTGTTACTATTGGGCATCAACCAGCTGAATGGGAGCATCGCCGACACGGAAGGAGTTCACGAAGCGCAAAGGAAGAGCTGGGGCTTTGATTCTTCACCGGGGGACGAAACGGAATGACTGAAGGGGGGGATGTTTAACCTTGAGTCCGGACGAGAGTGGAATCTTTCTAGGAGGGCGGTATCAGCGGCAGCTGGTGCTTTGCTCATCATTTGCATGAGCAAAGGTTGCTGTGCCAATATCCACCCCGTTCCTCCTCGACACTTTAGAACGCAACGTCCATGTGGTAGCACCAGCCCAGCCCACCATTTGACTCGCCCTTTTTTTTACAGCGCGACCTGGCTCACTCACTCACTCTCTCTCACACTCCCATGAGCGACACGAGGTCGATACGAGGGGGAGCAGTGAGGCTATTATTATAAGTATTCTGACGATGTCGAAAGTGGAAAGCAAGGTGTGACGACTTGGCCTTCCAGGAAGGGATTCTCTCTCTCACGGCGACCACCCCCCCCCAAACCACCGCTTTTCCCTTTCCTTCCCGCTACCGCTACTTTTTACGCTCTCCTTTTCCTTAAATTTTTTTCTTTTCTTTTCTGCCCGTCTGCCCGTCTGTCTGTCCGGTGTGCATAGTATGTGGCATGTATGTGTGTGCTGACTGCAACAATGTGCATATATATATATATATATATCTATAAAGGGGGGCAGGGCTTCTTCTTATTGTGTGTGTGTGTGTGTGATGAGGACAATGGTGTGCTTAATTTAATTTAATTTAATTGGGGATGGGTGTATGAATGGATGAATTTGGAAGAACCCTCCTTCTCTTGGCTGGCTGAGCATACATACATATATTGCCTTTTGCTTTGCTGATAGCCACAGTTGACTGTGCTCACAGTGCCATTCATTCATTGTTCATTATTCATTTCTCAACACATGGTCCCAATTTTGTGTTCACTTTTTAAATTTTATTATTTTATTTTGATGGATTGGAAATGGTAGAAAGAGAATATTTAGGTTGATCCACTTTGGTACAATATGTAGGGATAAGCTCTTGCCCAACCATAATCCTATTCATGCCAATTAGTTAGCAATTACGTCCTATTTAGGCAAATGAACTATTGTATTGTTGCTATATATTAATGAATGAAAAACTTGGAAGATAGGTAGTTGAGAAGTTAACTTGTATATTAAGAGCAGCTAGGATTTGATCCACAAACACCTCCTTGTAGCTCAAGTGGATATACTGTAGAGGTTGTCTAAATGCATACGTCTTGGTCTCACAACTGCTCCTAAAAAGTTCTTGATTATTGAACACATATAGCATAAAACTAGAATTAAGAATCTTTGCTACTATTGGATAAGATTAGGGTCGAGCCAACCCTTTGGTGGAAATGTTGAATATGTGTGAGGTCAAAATATGACCAAAGAAGATGAAGGCACTTAGATAGGTGTATATGATTTGAAAATGATCAATTATATAGTATGGAAAATTTTGAGCTATACAAGGGCAACAAATGATTGACTTCAACCACTTTATAATGGTGAGAAGAAAAAAAATTGGAACACGAGTAGAGAATTTGAAAGATACAAATGATCAAGAAAGGCAACTTCAAGCAAATGCAATTCTACAAATTACCATCTCAAATATTTGAGATTTTATCAACTTGAGCTCATGGAAAAAAGTAAAGTGTGAAAGATAAACTTTGCATAAATATGAAAATTTCCATCTTCAATCTTCTACAATCACCCACTCATTTAGTGACCAAGCAGTAAATTCATAACATCAATGATTGAGCTTTTACAAATATATAAATCATAGGAATATGATTTGTTTCATTTTAAGAATCTTTCTTAGTCAAGTTTTTTTTATCATTTATCAAATAAATAAGAGAGCCGCTCTATTTGAACATATTTATATTATTCATTTATTAAGTTCTATCATATGCTATTATTTATTTTAGATATAGAAGCATATTCTATCATATAATAGGTAGCTAGCCACCTTTTCCTAATTTAAATGATATATAATCATTTAAGCACTTTGGATCTAATACAATAATTTAAAAATCATTCCAAACATAATCAATCTATTCTAATTAAGACATTGGGATGTTGGTCACATTGATGCATCATCCTTTGGCTTTCACAATATATTAATCAATCTTTATAATAAGCCAACATATTTTCACCTATTTACATGGCAATGTGTCCAGTAAGGGTTTGTACAATGAGGCAATGTCTTATTTAATAAGACATTTATATCTTTAGACTTTAAAATTTTAGACTTGACATGAAGTAACTATCCAATTTATAGAGATCACATTGAATTGTAGGAGCAATTCAACTCACAATGATTCCAAAATCCAAAAAACTACCTATCTCTTGGAACTTAAATGGAAAAACAACACATCTAAAATATGAAATGACAAATGGCTTCTCCACCATGATGGAAGTTATAATGCTAACTTCTTTCAATGATTCCATGGATGATAAACAAGAAGTAATGATATGCAATGATACATCTCAAATCTACACAACTATAGTTGATATAATTTGACAAGCTATACTTATTATGATGCTAAAAAAACAAGCCCAATTCATCCAATCTAGATCTTTATCATCAACAAAATTGACTAAATAGGCATCATCTATACCATTTCTAATCATTTTATTAATCAATTTCATTCCTATTATAACATTGATTGTCAATAACATCATAAATATGAACATTCATTTCTCAAGGAATCAATAGTAGTGACACTTGATCATAGTTTCATCAACATTCTAGGCCGATTATAGTATGAATTACCTTCATGCATTTTTTTTTAGCAATTATATCCTTGTCTAAGACTTTTTAGCCTTTTTATGCAACTTCAATATAATTACAGATGCATATCTTGCCCTCATATCATATTATACCTTCTACTTCAAAATAAGGTTACAATTGGATACCAAAGACTTATTTGAGTCTTGCATAGATTCCATGATACTTAGCAATTGGATCTTGGTACAAAATCTTGGCAAGAAATTCTTTGTTCCAATTAACCAATGTAATGTAGCTTTGAATTTTCTTAGTAGCACAAAGTATAATTTGGATAACAACCTTGAGCTTCATTGCTCACATTTCATTATGCAAACCAAACTTGCCACAAATAATAAAGAAAAATTCATACAATAAATAACAAAGCCTACTTCATAAGTTCTTTTCTTCTTAGTCTCATGCAAGAAATAAGAGTCAATCAATTTTTTTTTAGATGTTGCTATCCTCAACTATATCAAGATATGCCTAGGATTCTCTTGTGAGAGTGATTTGATATACACTACTTCCAAATCTAGGACTACAACTATCATACTCTTTAATTTGTTTTCCGAGATAATTATTAATGATAACAATAAGGACCTTGATTTTAATACTATAATTGTACATATTATAAAATAGCTACATTCACTTTAAACTACAACAACATGACAACATTGAAGCGATGGCAAATCCATAAAATGACCAAAACAACCACCTTCTATGTAATGATTATTGTCATGTAGTCTGTATTGTGACATAGGACACAATACTATGGAATATCTTCTACAATCCTTCATGTTTAAAATAATCTTCAAGTTTTCATGATTGCTTGCTAAATAGGCCACAACCAAGTCTTTAAACTAAATAGCACATTTGCATCATCATGTAGCCTAGATATGCATATTGTCAAAAGACCATGAATTCATGCTCTAATATCTACCACCTTCTTTGTGCTTAATTGCTCAGCACCCTCTTGTAAGTTTATTGTAGTTCAATTATGGATAGTAGTAAGACAGATCAACAACATGAACAAACAATATATCATTGATACAAGCTATAACCTTACTATTGTCCTCTATACACTAATATAATTACTAAATCCCAAAATCAAATTTATTCATATTATAATAACCATCGTAGATGGCACCACATATCAATCACTTGAAAATATGGTAGTCTACATATTAGCCACAAGATAGGAAACCATGATAGAAGTGATTAAGAGTATTGGAGAATAAATCTTCTTAGAATTGGACTAGCTTATCCAAGTTATATACGTGCTTAATATTACTTGCCACGAGTTGACACTCAATGCATTAGGTCTTGATCCTAAAATTATATTCATGATAGTAATAATCTTCTAATCTAGAACATATCTTCTTAGTGTCATTTATATCATTCCAATTCATATTACTATCTATAATGACTAAAACATCTTTTTTAAATATAAACCTATAGATAATCATCTCTATATTTGAATCATTCCATCTATTGATACAAAAAATCCTACCTTACTAGCTTTGACACATAGGACTATGTTCAAATACACTTCCAATCCAATCATGGTTTTGTCTCATTTATAGGATTTAGTTGCCAATGGCATTGTAGTAGCTTGCATTGTTGCATGCTACTTATAGATAGATTTTTGGCATCAACTTGCTCAACATGACATGAGGTTCATAGTACATGGCATATATGACTACCACTATTGGAATATAATCAAACTTCTAATTATAAAATCTACTTCCACATCATTCCAATTAGTGCATAATCAAGTAGTTACATGTTTCATTGTTGTTAAAATATCTTTGGTAGTCCAACTGCCGCTTGTACCAAAAGTATGTTTAAAAATAAAAATAAAAAACCATATAACTATCTAAATTTAATAACTATATGAAATGACACCACTTTGCCTATAACTTTTATAAATCAATCCAAAGCACATCAAAAATTTAGTCTTCTATTAAGGCCATTCAACTTGATTGTAATTAAAGCTATTATTAAAAAAGATATAAAAAACTCAAAGCTATTATTAAAAAAGATACATATTCACTCTTCTGCATCAATAATACTTTTGATTAATTAGCAATAGTAATCATATTCTTATCTATTGATTTAGTAGTCGACTTTTGATAAATTCTCATCATCAAAATAGCCAAGGAAAAGACTGCCTTCATTTGTTGCAAATAATTATTCTATTTTAGCACAATATTGATGGATCTATGTGATACCACTTACACTTTTTAATGTTTGATGGACATGATTCTTAGCTATTTCAAATGCAAGTGATTGTTAGTCTATGTAGATGATATTGATATCTATTCTTAAAATTTTGATACTCATCTTATTGATCTCTTAAAGATATTTGATGGCAT